CAATTGCCATTGGGGCGCCCTCTGTAACCGCCTCTTGCATTGCTGGCTGCCAGGCCTGGTAATCTGCCATGGGGCCCCGTACCGACTCCTCATGCTGCTGCCAGGCCCGTAATCTGTCATGGGCCCTGTACCGCCTCCTCATGCTGCTGCCAGGTTCCAGAGTGTGTCATGGGTCCCTGTTACGGCCATTCGGCTTGAAGCGAATTTATTTGGCGAATTCGGCGAATCAGCCGAACCGAATTTTTGAATAATTCGCTCATCTCTAGTCCTGACCAAAGGAACCTCAAATCACACAACCTCAGATTGACCTTAATTGAATCCTCTTGTTTGCCTTCAAATCCTCCATCTCTAGAAGAATACTGCCCTCTCCTGTCCTACAACCTGAAAACTGGATCCCCAATAGATAGAGTTCCTATTCCTTTTCCCCTTCCTTTCCTCTTTCCCCTTCCTTTTCCCTTTTCTTTCCTTTCCCCTTCATTTCCCCTTTTCTTTACCTCTTCCTTTCCTTTTCCCCCTTTCATTTCCCCTTTCCTTTTCCCTTCCCCCTTTCCTTTGATCACATGATCGGGACCTCACACAGAGGTCCCGTACAGCGATCGATGTTCCGCTGTGTACGGAGGGCTCCCAGTCCAAAATGGCGGGCGCCATTTATGAATGGCAACCCGCTACTGCACTGCCCCCGCCTGGCCATTTATATACATGGGCCGGATGGGAAGTGGCCATGCTCCGGACGAATTTTGTTATAAATAAATAAAATCCCTTTTATGGAACGTTCGTTTGGTTTGTAAAATGGTTCAAGGAGACAAATTGAAGATAATTTTTGATTGCATGGATGAGAAAATTCAAAGGATCGGGTTGGGATTTTTTTTCTCTTGTTTCTTATCCAGTTTAACAAGGTTCTAACCGTTGACCTAATGTGGTCCGGTTTTGTATTGTATACGAAACGTTCATAAAATAAAACGTTTACGTTTTATTCATTGGCATGGCAAAAATTAAGAGCTCTGGAATGTAATTCGATGACTCCACGAATGCTATGACAACCAATTTTTTCAGAAGGTTTGAATGAAAATCCAACCACATATGGCCAGCTTTAGGGCTCGATCACACCAGCCTCTATGGGTTGCATTGAGCAGCTCTGGTCAAAGCCGTCCCAACACATATACAAGGCAATCTTGCCTTATGTCCTATTACTTCAATAGGTTTGAGCTAATAAAAAAAAGGGACATGTTACATTTTTTGCGCAAGGCACTATGATGCTCTATAATTAAACATTTAAACACACTAGCACAAAGAGTTAAAAACATTTTAAATTTAAAAAAAACTTAAGCGTTAAAAAAAAAGAAAAGCCCAGTGGTGTTTTTTTTGGGTCATGCTAATTATGCGCACATTAACGCAAGTCCGCTGACGTAATTGAGCCTTTAATTATTGAGCCTATAATTATATTTTAATTAAATAAAAAAAATTAAAGTAATAAAAAAAAAAAACAGCTGTAAACAGAAATGTTTAATTTGTTTATTTTTTAAATGTTAGAAAGTTAAAGATGAATTGTAAAAAAAATGTGTGCATTATTTCTTGGCAATTTGTAATTTTTTTTAAAAAAAAGAGGAATATAATTTTCACTGGTAAGTAAAAAAAAAAATACAAAATTTATAAAAAGACCATTTTTCTCAGAATCCTCCTCACCTCCCCGGTCAGCAGGTAGATGATCTCCAGGGTGAGCCGTAATATCCTCTCCGTCAGGTAGGTGCAGTTTGCCTCCATTGCTCGCAACTCTCTTCTATTCACTTCCAGCAACAATATTGCCCATCCCCCCCTGATGATCAGCATCATGGGTAGAAGGCAGGATCTTCTGTGATTGGGTGTGCTCAACCATGTTATTGTAGCCCAGTGGGATCCATCTGCCTTCTGGGCTACAACAAAATGGCAGAGGCTATCCAATCACCAAAAAGTGTGTATTTTACCCATGATGCTGAGTTTTGGGGGATGGGCTGCAGGAGTGAGTGCAATAGAGTGCAAGCTATGGAGCCAAACTGCAGCAACCTGACAGAGAGGATATTACGGCTCACCCTGGAGATCATCTACCTGCTGACAGGAGAGGTGAGGGGGATTCTGGGAGCACCGCAAACACATTTTATTTATTTTTTTATCGCTGATATCTACCTAAAAAAAATAACTTTTCCACACTTTAATTTCAAAGATGATCAGCAGAAAATTGCTAGTACAAATTTTTCTCATTTCTAGTGTTTATACCTTTACATTTTAATTATTGTTACATTTTGTTTTATTTTTCTTATTTTGTTACATATTTTAATTTTTTTTTACATTTGTATTGTCACATTTTATTACTGTTACAATTTTTCTTACATTTTTATTATTGTTACTTTTAATTTAATTTGTATTATTATTACATTTTGTTTCATTTTTTTTTATATTATTACATTTCTTTGTTACATATTTTTTAGTTTTTGTTACATTTTTTTTTTTTTTTTTGTGTAATTGTTTAATGAGTTATCAAAGAACTTTATTTTTCTGCCCACAAATACATACATTTTTGGATATATTGTTAAAATGGACAATTGGCCCAAGAAGATACATTTGTACAGAATGGGTGGCTTTTTTGTACTGCAAGTGGGACATTTTTTAACAGTGCGGCATTGTTTACTATTTGTAGAGAATCATTTTAATAATGACAGTGATATTCATGCATGCAAGTTTTAATTTAAAAAAAAAAAAAACAGTAAAAAAAAAAAAAAAAAAAAAAAAATATATATATATATATATATATATATATATATATATTATTATTATAATACAGGATTTATATAGTGCCAACAGTTTGCTCAGAGCTTTACAATATAACGGGAGACAATACAGCAACAATACAGTTCAATACAAGAGGGTTAGGAGCAGGGGCGGACTGACAACTCATGGGGCCCCCGGGCAATAGGGGATCATGGGGCCCCTGTGTCCTTGCCCACATTCAAAAAAAGCCTATAAAAGGTACCAGGGGTATTTCATGGGGCCCCCTACTGACCCCGGGCCCTCGGGCAGTGCCCGAATGCTCGAATGGTCAGTCTGCCCCTGGTTAGGAGGGCCCTGCTCCTTGGAACTTACAATCTACACACACCACATGGAAACTTTTGTTTGAAGGAGTATCCTTCTAAGCCCCTACCAGATTTAGCACCTCCTCGAGGCCCGGAGTAGCACATCACATATGTCCTCAAATCTTCCAGATCAATATCAACTAGCCGGCCCATATGACCCCTATACCACACCAATGGCCACACAGTGCCCAGTCCATGGCTAACATCAGGACTTTTCCCAAGCTTGACAGGTTCCCTCCAGATGACCAAACACCACCACCCCAGGAGTAGAACCCCCAACTAGGCCTTAAAATACAAGGACAAAATGGGAGCCATATGAGCAACTTCTTTGATTGGAAATGTATATATTAATTTCTAATCCACTTCCACAGGATAACATTGTTGCGAAAAAGACATCAGGAGATGGACAGGACTTCATCATGGTTCCTCTATACTCCTTACTGCTTCCAGAGAGAAATGATGACAAAAAGATTTTAGAAGCCACCTCCAAGATAACTGAGCTTCTGACAGGAGAGGTGAGCAGTGCCGGGAATTCTGGGACATTCTCCAGTAACAGACAAGGGATGTGTCTGGATGGTGACTGTATCATTGTGTGTGTCAGGTTCCTATAAGGTCTCAGGAGGTCTCCATGGAGGAATGGAGGTACAAGGGATGACATAATGGAGGACCACCAGGCTGTTACATCACCAGGTTAGAGGAGACTTTATTGTAAAGGAGAGAGCAGTACGGAGGGTCCACCTAGATCCCCCATCATCTGATAAACACATAGAAACAATGGATTCAGTCTGTGCGTCTTTTTTCCTACAGATGGATCCAGTAATGGGAACCCACCAGAGAGATGTCCCCCGTCCTCTGTATTCCCGGGACTCCACACAGGAAGGTCACACCATCCCCCACCATCATCAGGTTGAAGATTTACAATCATTGGTAGTTACATTATACTCTGCACAGTAATGGCATTTTTACTATTATATTTAATTTTCAGAGTAGAAATATGAGCAACATTCCTATTAAAGAAGAGGTCAAAGAAGAAGACGATGGTGGTATGGAAGAGGAGTATTTAGAAGGACACACGGATGTCAGGAGGGAGAATCAGCCGCCCCTCATGCCACCTGGTAAGAGATGACCAACTTGTTAAAGAAAGCAGTACGGAGGGTCCACCTAGATCCCCCATCATCTGATAAACACATAGAAACAATGGATTCAGTCAGTGTGTGTGTTTTCCTACAGATGGATCCAGTCATGGGAACCCACCAGAGAGATGTCCCCGTCCTCTGTATTCCCAGGATTCCACACAGGAAGGTCCCACCATCCCTCACCATCATCAGGTAGATGGATCCAGTAATGGGAACCCACTAGAGAGATGCCCAAGTCTTCTATGTTCTCAGGATCCCACACAAGATGATCACACCATCCCTCACCATGATCAGGTAGAATATTGAACATTATTGATAGTAACATTATGACCTGTACATTGGCTTCATTTTTACTATTTTACATTGACTGTTAGAGTGGAAATTTGCACAATATTCCAATTAAAAAAGAGATAAAAAAAGAGGAAGAAGAGGAGGAGGAGGGTGTTACAGAGGAGCTGGACTGTGTAGAAGGACACAAGGATCTCTACAAGGGCCTCATGATGGACAATCAGCCGCCCCTCACATCACTGGGTAAGAGGAGACTTTTTTGTAATGGAGAGAGCAGTACGGAGGGTCCACCTAGATCCCCCATCATCTGATAAACACATAGAAACAATGGATTCAGTCAGTATGTGTGTTTCCTACAGATGGATCCAGTAATGGGAACCCACCAGAGAGATGTCCCCGTCCTCTGTTTTCCCGGGTTTCCACAGATCGCACCATCCCTCACTATAACCAGGTAGGTGGTTGTGAAGATGTCGAACTCAAGCCTTGTTCTAAACTTGAATCAATTTTTTTTTTCTCCTATGTCGTCTCAGAATAATAGTGCTGAAAATATTTTAGGGTGAAGAAGTGATGGGTATAAAAATTATGGTTAAAGAGGAAGAAGAGACGCATGTAATGGGTGATCAGCTGAATATAGAAGAAGATCAAATGATGGCGACCATTACCAAGGAGGAATCTTCTCTAGGTATTATACACACACAATTTAGCACTTAACATTTTCATTTTAATTCATTAAGTTTTGGATAGGCAGTTGGACCGTTATCTAACGTGCCCAACAAATAAGGTGGAGGTATTGTACACCATGTCTTCATACAAATGTCCAGGCCTCACCGCATGTATATAATCATTGTATTTACACTCCCTCATGCTTCCAGAAAATTCTGATGTACATCGCATAAAGGTCTGTTTCCATTCCTTATTCATGTTCCCAACAAAGGAGGTGGAGATACTGTACATTACATGAAGGGTCCATCTGCACTCTCAATGTAATGTCAAATACCAAACAAACGAAGTGAAGGCATTGTACACCATATGAAAGGTCCATCTCCGAATATAACCATGTTCCCCACAAATGAGGAGGAGATACTGGACACCATATAAAGTCATCTCCATTCCTCCGTCACAAAATGAGGAGGAGATACTGGACACCATATGAAAGGTCCATCTCCATTCCTCAATATAACGTCACGTTCCCAACAAATAAAGCCAATAGATGTCTATCTTTCTTTTTGTGATAACAATATCATCCGTGTATTGATTCCCTGACCCAGTGTGCTATTGTTGATTTGGCTGCATTGTGGATTTTTTCCCAACAGGTGGAGACAATGGCTGGGATACCTCAAAAGGACATCTTATTTTATCTCCTGAAGATAATGACATGGCCCAAAATTCTCCAGAAGTAAGCATTAGTACTCGAAATATACATCAGAAGACACAGTCAAGAAAGTGCTCATTTTCTTGTACGGAGTGTGGGAAAGGTTTCAATGGGAATCACGCTCTTCTAAATCACCAGCGAACCCACACCAACGAGCGCCCATTTTCTTGTCCGGATTGTGGCAAACGCTTCAAAGTTTAAATTCTGTCTTGATCGACACGTGAAACTTCATGAAAATAACGATTCACTGTCCTGTTTAGAGTGTGGCAAGTCATTTGAAAAGAAATACGACCTCCTCGTCCATCAGAGGAGCCACGCTGGCAAGGAGGTCTTTCCTTGCACGGAATGCAAAAAAAACGTTCTTAAAAAAATATGACCTGGCTGTCCACCTGAGAACCCACTCAGGAGAAAAGCCCTACTCATGTTCTGAGTGCAGCAAGTCATTCAAAAATAGACGAGACCTCGTTCCACACCAGAGGATCCACACCGGGGAAAAGCCCTTCTCGTGTTCTGAGTGCGGAAAGTCTTTTACCCACAAATCTCAACTCAAAACGCACCAGATAGTCCACACCGGTGAGAAGCCCTTTTCCTGTTCTGAGTGCGGCAAATCCTTCCCCAGTAAAGGGAACCGTGATAAACACATGAGGATTCACACCGGCGAAAAACCGTTTTCCTGTTCAGATTGCGGCAAATGTTTTGCGCAGAAAGTGACGCTAATCATCCACCAGAGGACACACACCACATGAAAAATCATCTGGTGCCATTTCTACCATTTCTTGGACTGAGGCTAATAGTCCAATACAGGTTAAGTAGTTTGGAAGGGTCAGCTGACCAAAAATGGAATATTTTAGTTTTTGGTGTTTTGGCTTGGTCTATATCTTGGATCTACGTTACTAGAGAAGTATTACTTTGATGCCCAGTCTTTTATTATGTTCTAATTTTGCCTTTTATCTGACAAGGTATTGCTGTCCTGACCAGTGCCCACCTGCCCTGAATCTCAGTAATCCAATTCAGAGGCGTATCTAGAAACTTCAAGGCCCTGGTGCAAGAATCCATGAAGGGCCCTCGGAGGTCCTTCCCTCCGAGACTGGCGACAGGACAGGGCCTTTTACTCCCAATAAAAGGTGAACTTTTTCACATGTTTCACAGTGGACCTCCTTTCTGCCGTCTTGGGGCCTCCCATGGTGGAGGAACGCCAAGTGTGACCTTTGCAACCCTGGTAGTTCCACCATTGATCTGATTATTTGGGACCCAACCTGTAATGCAGGAAGGAATTCTCAGAGGCAAACCCACTGCAGGCTCTTGGCCGTCTCTCAAGCTGGGTACACACAGGAATTATTATTTTTTTTTTGTTTAACAATGGGTCGAACGAAAAAAAACGGACAGATCCCTGCATCAACACAAGCAACGTTGAAGCAGGGATCCCTCTTGACTGCACTGTTGTATTCGGAAAAAACGGGGACCTACAAAACCTACAGACTTCCCTACAGAAAGTCTGATGTATTGAAGGGATATTACTAAGGGACCATTCTCACTTACGCATTGCAGGTCATTGGGGGGCCTTTTATATTGAATGGCTCTCCGGTGCACCAAATCACAGCCACCATGACACATTCAGGAAGCAGACCAACATGTGAGGAGCTCTTTGAAATCTCACCGCAGTGCATTACATCAAATACAAATTTCTACCTATGCCCGTGTCCCCATCGAGGGGATGGTCCTCTCAGACCAGAACTGAGGGGAAAACTCTACAACAAGGGCAACCGCGGGGTCTTGGGATATCCATCCTTTCTACATTTCATAATAACAGCCATAAAATAAAGTTCTCATTGGTAGACCACCAAGTGGCCTCTTGTTTCATATATATTGTTACCACTGATCACCATTAGGTGTTCTTCATCACCAACTCTGTGAGGTCTATATATTGGCACGTGGCCTTTGGAGAAGGATATGTGTTTTCTGATCTGACATGGTTAAAAATAAACCCGAGAACCCGAGAAAATCTAGTCTGTAGGCTTTGGTTGTCAGAGGGTACAGGTGCTTACCATGGGGAAATAGCAACTGAAGATGGTAGACAGTGACAAAAAAAAGAACTGCACAAAGGTGTCGGCTACAGATGAGAAAAATTGGAATGTCAAAGGAAAATGGGACTTTTTGCTAAAAATTTTATTTTTGTTTAATACGTTGGAGTCAATGGAGAAGGCAAAGTTAAAGGTTATCTCCGGGTCACTTTCACTTTGAATAGTTTTTTGTGGGGTAAGCACAGCACAGTGCAGGTCACTAATTAAAAAGTCTGGAAGGTCTGAAGTTGGATTACTTTTTAATGGGGTATTAAATTATACTAGCTGAGCCCCACACCAGCCTGCTCCTGGGAACCACACCAGCCTGCTCCTGAGCCCTATACCATCCTGCTCCTGGGAACCACACCAGCCTGCTCCTGAACCCCATACCAGCCTGCTCTGAGCCCCACACCAGCCTGCTCCTTTGCCCCACACCAGCCTGCTCCTAGGTCCCATACCGGCATGTTCCTGGGCCCCACACCAGCCTGCTCCTGGGCTACACACCAGCCTGCTCCTGGGCTACACACCAGCCTGCTCCTGGGCCCCACCACAGCCTGCTCCTGGGCCCCACAACAACAGCTTCCTGGGCCTGAACCCCACCCAGCATGCTCCTGGGCCCCACACAAGCCTGCTCCTGGGCTCCACACCAGGCTGCTCCTGGACCCCACACAATCCTGCTCCTGAGCCCCACACAAGCCTGCTCCTGAGCCCCATACCAGCATGCTCCTGAATCCCACACCAGCATGCTCCTGGGCCCCACACCAGCCTGCTTCTGGGCCTGCACAAGCCCGCTCCTGGGCCCCACACCGTCCTGCTCATGAGCCCCACACCGTCCTGCTCGAGCCCGACATCATCCTGCTCATGGGCACCACACCTGCCTGCTTCTGGGCCTGCACAAGCCCGCTCCTGGGCCCCACACCGTCCTGCTCGACACCCCCACACCATCCTGCTCGAGCCCCACATCATCCTATACGCTCACACCAGCCTGGGCACCACACCTGCCTGCTCCTATACGCCACACCAGCCTGTGCTCCTGAGCCCCACACCAGACTGTTCCTATGCCCCACACCAATCTGCTCCCATGAGCCCACACCAGCATGCTCCTGAGCCCCACACCAGTATGCCTGCCCCCAACCTATGCCCCACTCCAGCCTGCTCCTGAGCCCCCCAACCAGCCTGCTGCTATACTCATACATATTCTGAGGGATGAGAGGCAAAGAGACAGTATGCAACATAGGTGTTCAGGATGGTTTTCCTTGCTCTAGCCTGCAGGAGGAGACCCCTGTTGAGGAACCTTGTCCTCCTGGGCAGAGGTCTGGAGGAAACCCAGCCTGAAGACACAGAGATCCCAGCTAGGCTTAGATAGGGAGCTGACTTGCAAAGCCAGCTCAGGAATCTAGAGGGTCAAACCAGAGCTCACGGGATCCAGTGGGGAAGAAACTGTGGGAGAGAGCTGGTGTGAGCCTACATCTCTATCACCAGGAAGAGTCTGGAGAGATATCGGTCAAGAGGCAACCAATAATCTTGGTGGCTGAATGAATACAAGTCCCCTGAGCTGGAGTGTGGTACTTTTGGACTCTGAGTAAGGTACAGGTGGAGAGTCTATTGGACTTTGCTGGGAGAGTGCAGCCATTAGTTGTGCAATACAGCCAGGAGTTGTGCAAGACCATCAATAGTTGTGTAGAGCAACCAGACGTTTAGCAAGTCCTCAATTTTTAGTTCTGGGGTAACCCGGAACTATCCCTATCCAAGTTCACCGTCGCTCAGTAAAACCCAAAAAAAAGAAACCCCTAGAAGGCATCTTGAGCCAGAGTAGGAATGCTGAAAATGCTGTCTGCCTGGCTGTGTGCGCTCTAAAGGGGGAAATAGGCCCAAATCCACCTGGGACTCTTTCAAAAGATAGAAAATAATGTAGCTTAGCAGCCGAGATGTGGTGACTACATTCATGTTCTTCTTTTCGGCTTTTTCCCCTTGATCTTGTGAATAACACACTTCCTGTCCTAGGGTACTACGCTTACTCACACTACTGTATTTATGGAGGGAGCCATAGTCGTCTGGGCCCCACACCAGCCTACTCCTGAGTCCCACACCAGCCTGCTCCTGAGCCCCATACCAGCCTGCTCCTGAGCCACACAATAGCCTGCTCTCTGAACCCCTCACAAGCCTACTCCTGGGCCCCACACCAGCCTAGCTCCTGAGTCCCACACCAGCCTGCTCCTGAGCCCCATACCAGCCTGCTCCTGAGCCCCGCACCAGCCTTCTCCTGAGCCCCATACCAGCCTCCTCCTGAGCCACACAACAGCCTGCTCTCTGAACCCCTCACAAGCCTACTCCTGGGCCCCACACCAGCCTACTCCTGAGTCCCACACCAGCCTGTTCCTGAGCCCCACACCAGCCTACTCCTGAGCCTCCACACCAGCCTACTCCTGAGCCCCCCCACACCAGCCTACTCCTGAGCCCCACACTCGAGCCTGCTCCTGAGCCCCACACCAGCCTACTCCTGAGTCCCACATCAGCCTGCTCCTGAGCCCCACACCAGCCTGTTCCTGAGCCCCACACCAGCCTACTCCTGAGCCCCACACAAGCCTGCTCCTGAGCCCCACACAAGCCTGCTCCTGAGCCCCACACTAGCCTGCTCCTGAAACCTTACCAGCCTGCTCCTGAGCCACACACAAGCCTGCTCCTGAGCCACACACCAGCCTGCTCCTGAGCCCCACACCAGCCTGTTTCTGAGCCCCACACAAGCCTACAAGGCTACAAATGCCTCACCCTCTCTCTCACCTCTATTACGGCGTGGTGTGGGGAATTTGTAGTTTACAGGTAACAGCTCGGAAGGAAGATGCACTTTGCGATTCCAGTTCAGATCAACAGATATTTTCTGTACTTGCCAAAAATGTTCCTAACCCCAAAAAGGAAAAGGAATGCAGCTGATACAATTAGAGACGGGTTAGCTGCCACATATAGCATTTTATTTTGGGGTTCAGCTATCCTTTAAAATTTGTTAATACAAGTGAATGGATGGACGCCAATGTGTAGGAATGGCCTCAGCCACCGTTCTGGCCACACCTCTGACTCGTTTTGTCTCGCCCATTGGGGCTCAGTGGCAGAGACCTCTGTGACCAAGCCCAGGTGGGCGGGGTGAAACACATCAGTGGGCATGGCCAGAATGCCGGCTGAGGTCATTCTTTTACATTGGATTCCTGGGGTCGGTTGAGTAGCATCCATCCTTTCACTTGCATTGGCTGATACTGGAATCGCTCTGTGACCAAGCCCAGGTGGGGGGGGGGGGGTGAAATGCATCAGAGGACATGGTCAGAATGGTGGCTGAGGTCATTCCTCAACATTGGACTCCAGGGTCGGTTGAGTAGCGTCCATCCTTTCACTTGTATTGGCTGACACTGGAATCGCCCGGACTCACGCTCCCTTCTTCTCACTTGCTGGTGGGGTGACTCTTTTTCCTTCCATCCATAGCTTGAAGTGACGTTACAAGGTATCTCCTCACGAAAGACGTCATCAAGATATTCGCCAAACTAGGCTGGCCATAACCCAGTAGAACGTCATTGGGAAATGTACGTTTTTGGAACGTTCCTTTAAATTTT